TTACTAAGGAGGCTAAAGCAGGAGGATCACCTGACTAGGAGTTTGAGGCTGCAGTAAGCTATGATCATGCCACCAGACTCCTGCCTGGATGACTAAGACTCTGTCTCAAAAAATAAAGAAGAATTTAAATTATAAATAAAGGAATATGGTTTTTGTTCTCAAGAAATTTGGGAGATTTTAATTAAAATTAAAACAGCAAAAATTTTCATTGTAGCAAATTTTTTTTTTTTGACACAAGGTTTCTGTCTCTCTAGAGTGCAATGGCAGCATCATAGCTCACTGCAACCTCAAACTCGTGGACTGGGGTAATCTTCCTCTCCTGCTTCAGCCTCCCAAGTAACTGGGATTATAGGTGTGTGCCACCACACATGGCTAATTTTTTCCATTATTTGTAGAGACAGGATATTGATCTTGTCTAGGCTGGTCTCAAGTGATACTGCAGGCCTCAAGTGATAGATACTCCAGCCTTGGCCTTCCAAAGTGCTAGGCAGCAGCCACCATCCCTGGGGATACGAATCGTTTTTAAAACTGCTGTAAATTACATTTAAATAAAAAATTTCAAACTAGTGCAGGGGCTTCATGTACCTTTATTTAGCATTACTTTCCTGTTCTTACTGTAGACTTAATTATCTACTGGAGAATGATCTAAAATGGAACAAAGCTAATTAGATTTTTCTGACCTTACTGTTCACCTCACTATTCCCACTTTCTGGGTTTCTTGGCCTTGCACATTTTCACAACTTCAAAAGAAATGAGGCTTTACAATAACAGTTCAATATTTTGTGCCTAAGTTTTTGTTTTCATAGAGTAGCAGAGTGTCAGTTGTTACTGATTCTTAGGACGTCTATATCAGGTCAGACAGACTGTTCCTTTGGTAGCCTTATTCTAATAACAACCTGGGAAAATTGTTTCTTGGTTGCCTGAAACTACTGATTGTGCATTCTGTATTAAGAGGACCCAAATGTTTTGCTTAGTTAGTAGAGTTTTTATCTCTTCCTTTGTGTATTTCCATAAATAAAACTGGATTAACATCACAGACATTAGAACAAATAAGTCAGTGTCTTTCTCATGTTAGCTGGCAGGTGTTTGTCTCAAGAGTGATGTCCTATAGACTCACTCAGTATGTGAATGAGAAGGGATTATGTTTCACAGATACAAAGAGAAATAATTAACATGGTGGTTATTCATTTAGATTCAAAGAATCTATGTTTTTCCCTCAAGAAAATTCCTAAGCATTTATTTTTATTGCTATTACAGTACTTCTAACACATAAAATGTTCAAATAAATTAGCATTAACTATTCTTTTAAACTGCCAGACCCTGCCATTTATTAGTACAATTAACATACCTGATAAAACAAATTTATATTTTATTCAGATTCAAAGGGAAGTTTAGGATTACTGTGTGTGCTTTGCTATGCATTTTATTTTAATCACTGATGAATTTTGAATTTGGGTTTTTTTTTTTAAAAAAAAAAAGATTTTAGGGTTATAAAATGTTCTTGACTTGCTTCCAGAATAAAAATATTTTAATATTTTTTAAAGCCAAAGCCCCATCTGCTGTTTTCATTAAAATCTCAAGAATTGTTCACATTGCCAGGAGCAGTTCTTTGAAAACAGTCTGATGTTTAATCAAGCAGCGATATGTGATTTACAAGGTCATTTTTTGTTAGGACAAAGGAAGAGTTAGGAAGAGTAATTTTTTCAAACAATGATAAAATTTAAAATTGAATAATAGTTTAAGTAGATTTAATACAGATCTTTAAGAAATTCATACCATTAGAATTATATTTTAAAAGCTGAAACAAAGGTAAATCTACTTATCTTGAAAAAGTAAATTCTGATAGAATAAAATTTTAAAAAGATGTTGCTATTTAACTTTCAAAGTAGCATTTATTCATTCGGCTGGGAAGAATTGCAGTTTTCCTTTTCTATGTTGTGCTTTGCTTCATATAAAATATAAAACATTCGTACCTCTTTAATATTGAAGAGGTTAGTAGGGAGATTGATGTTAAGAAGCATGATGGATTGGATGATGAAAACAGTATGAACATGAAAACAGTTAAAATATGTACATCACTATCAATAATCAACTATATAATACTGATAGATTACAAAATTATGAAAACTTGGTGTTTAAACAGTTGATTTATCTAGGATTCCAAATAATAGTTCTTAAGTTTTCTTGCCGCCTCATTATCAGAATAGATGTCCACATATCTCTCTGTGGCATACTTGATTGGTCATCTGGTCCCTGCCTTTCTCTCCAGCTTCTTCTCTGACTGCTCCCTTTGCTGAACCTGATTCTTTAACCATTGTCAACTCTTCTGGAGTTTCCAAACTTGCCATAAGCCCTCTAGCTAGCCTCCCCTTTGTTCTACGCACTCTACACTTTGCCTGGTCACTGGGCCCAACTCTTCTCTTTTATCCTTCCTTCCACACCCAGGCAGAAGCTCACTGCCTTTTTTTCTTTTCTGTCCTCCTGAAGCTCACTTTTTTTTATTTTTTGTTTTTGTTATTACATTTTCCCTATTACATGGAAATTCTTCCAAGTTAGAACTAGGACGTGATTTACTCATCTTTGTATTTCTAGGTACATGTAGGTGCTCCCTAATAATACAGGAATGAACCAGGACAGCCCACCTCTTACTTTACTGTTTCAGCAGAAAGTGCTAGCTACAGACCTTTCTGTTCATCAGAGAGCACTGAACTAAGAATGTCCTTTTGAAAAATTACAGCCATCAGATACTTGCAAGTCATTACAAATCTCTGTGGAGATTTAAAATAAACAGGATTCCTTATGTCCATCTTTGAAATTAAGTTAGACTGTTTAACTTTAAGCCAGTGAAGACTTCCCAGTGAGGAATAGCTGTATAGATCTGGCATCTTTCCTGACCTTTAACTAAGTGAAAACATCAGATTGTTTCTATACTTTGGTGGCTCCCACCGTTAGATGCAGTTCCAATTAGAACTGATTTATTTTTACAAATGAATTATTTCATTGAGTCCATATTGTGTACATTCAGTTGTGTTAAATTCACACATAACATTGGAGACATTTTATTAAAAGTTACCTAGTAAGAGTCCAGAAAACTTCAACCAGAAAAGTCAAGCCCAAAAGTGAATCATTTAACCAAATATAATTTTACTTTAGGAAACTAAATACATATATTGTGGAGGCAGTCTTCTTTATTCCCATTAAAATGAAAGCGTAGCTGGGCGTTGTGGCAGGTGCCTGTAGTCCCAGCCACTTGGGAGCCTGAGGCAAGAGAATCACTTAACCCCAAGAGTTTGAGATTGCTGTGAGCTGTGAGGCCACAGCACTCTACCAAGGGTGACATAGTGAGACTCTGTCTCAAAAAAAAAAAAAAAAATGAAAGCATGATGTTTTTCTTTTTAAAAATATTTTCACTGATGTATTCCAAGTACTTTAGCTCACAAAAGAATCTCCAATTTCCAATTTATTTCTCCACCTCTCTCTTGTCACCTATCATGTACCACTTTGCCTTGTCACTTAATCCAAAAGGTGATGCATTCAGGGAAATTAGGATCTATGTTTTAATCTTTTCATATTTCCTGCTCAGAACCTAGTCCAGTGCTATATGATTAAGGGGTGCTTAATGAATATGGAATGACTGAATGAATGGATCTTGGGTGCTTTACTTGAGGGCTTTCCAGACTCCTGTAGTTCTCATCAGTTTCTCTCCCAGTCCTTTGGCTTTCATTCAGCCTGCTTCACAGCCAGATCCCTCGTAGCCTGAGCTGAGCCACTCTTCCCATTTTCCTTACTGCTGCTTCCTCCATGCTCTAGAGTTAGTTCTGTGCTGCTGCTTGAAGAGTTACCTTCTTCCCAAATCCTCCACAGGACACGAGGCTTTGTTGTTCTCTGCTTCTGTTCTGTAGTGAAGCAGAGAGGTAAAAATTTCTGATAAAGCAGTTTTGTGTGTTTAACATACAAAAATTGAAATTGTGCACACCTTTACACTGAATTTTTCAACACAAGGCAAATTCTTTAATTTACCCCCCCCATACCATCCAGCAGGTTTTCTAATGAGTAGATCATAAAGCAATTAGTGTTGTTTAGTTCTTAGAAATCAGGAGAAATTGATCTTAGTGTAATTCAATCAACACTTCTTAAATACCTATTATATACAAAATCCATAGGTATGAAAAATTCAAGAGTGTAAAAGTTTACATTGTGGGGAAGACTGGGCTAACAGATGCCCAAATGATTATAATATTTGTCAAATACAAATAGGTATTTGTAAGTACAAAATAATAGAGGGGTAAAGAGAATTCTCTGTGAGAAAGACAAGAGAGTTGTAGGTATAGAATTTGAGAGTCAGGAAAGCTTCATGAAGGACTTGGGCAGAAAGAGCACTGTAACTTCATGCATGTATTTTAAAATTACTATTCTAGAAATATTTTCTAAAGATCTTCTTTCACGGCTCCGCGCCTATAGCTCAACCGGCTAAGGCGCCAGCCACGTACACCTAAGGTGGCGGGTTCGGATCCCCAGCCCGGACCCGCCAAACAACAATGGCGGCTGCAACCAAAAAATAGCCGGGCGTTGTTTCGGGCGCCTGTGGTCCCAGCTACTTGGGAGGCGGAGGCAGGAGACTCGCTTGAGCCCAGGAGTTGGAGGTTGCTGTGAGCTGTAAGGCCACGGCACTCTGCCCAGGGGGACAGCTTGAGGCTCTGTCTCAAAAAAAAAAAAAAAAAAAAAGATCTTCTTTCACTTATAAAAAGGAATGTTAGAAAAAATCAGATAATTATCATACTTTTATATACTAGGTAATCAATATTTTGTTTCTTGATGAATAAATGACCTTGTCTTGTATTACTACAGTTTTTGACATGGCCTTTTAAATTAGAATAATGCAGTAGTGGTAAACATGTTTAATAGAAACAAAATAACAATAAAGGATACCTGTCTTCTTTAAGCTATGTAGCATTTTTCATGCTATTTTAATATTTGTTTTGTTCATCTATGGTTTTTAGGCAGCTTGGATTCTAAAAGCACGAGCACTAACTGAAATGGTTTACATAGATGAAATTGATGTAGATCAGGAAGGAATTGCAGAAATGATTCTGGATGAAAATGCTATTGCTCAAGTTCCACGTAAGTATTGGTTTTTCAGTTAAGTTAATGGAATGCCATTAGGAGGAGGAATAATATATATATATATATTAGAATATGTAGCTAGGTATTTAGATATATTTCTGTACTATAGACATAATGTAAAACATTATATACATGAAACAAAAACACTATCCCAAAAAAATAGTTTCTGTTCTCCCTCACAGTACAAAGGCTTCTTTCCCAAAACTCAGTTATCTTCAACTTAAGGTGTGAGATTGATGTATAACAATTTTTCATTGAAAGCTATATTATGCAAAATTATTTGTGAAAATAATTTATAAAAATGCATTGTATTTGAACTGGTTATCTGCTGTATCAGAAGCTTGTTTATCTGGGATACATCCAAGCATCTGAAGTATTCTAAAAGGATTTACCAAAAAGAGATCATTCAGATACATCACTTAATTGTTAAAATCGGATCAGGTATGGTGGTGAGGTTGAAGGATTTTGAGCTCAGGAGTTTGAGACCAGCCTGAGCAAGAGTGAGACCCCATCTCTACTAAAAATAGGAAAATTAGCCAGGCATGGTGACAGATACCTTTAGTCCCAGCTACTTGGAAGACTAAGGCAGGATGTTCACTTGAGCCCAGGAAATTGAGATTGCTCTGGGCGAGGGTGATGCTGCAGCACTCTAGCCATAAGCCAATAATTAGACATGATTTACTCATGATGTGAGGTGATGCGGTGATATGCTGGGCTGTGATTATCAACTGGGATTGTCAAAGAGGCCCAGTCCCTATCTTGCAGATATAGGTGGTGCAAATGGTATTGGATAAGAACTATTATATATGGTGGTCTTAGTAATTTGTTAGTTGTTAAAATTCTCTGTTGTTTATATGTTTTGGAAGATAATAACTGTTTTAAAACTTCAAATGGAAATTGAGAAAAAAATTAATGTGTTTTATATTAAATATCTTTCTTGCTCATTATTTTGCTCTTTGAGATTTAAAATATCTAAATTCTAGATATGATGTAAATGATCTTTTACTGGGAGAAGTTTGTATGAAAAATAATTAAAGCAGTATACAACCATTATTTTGAACTTTGGAGCCTCTTAGGCTTGAGTTTGAATCCCAGCTTTACTAATAGATTGCCCTGATAACTTAATTCTGTAAACCTTTGTTAAATGGATTACTACCACCTACCTTGCAGACTTAGTTTGAAGAGTAAATGTAAGAACATAAGTAAATGATAGGGGCTCATTAAATACTAGTCTCAAACACATTTCCCTAAAATGCATTTCTTGTTATTAATGTCTTTTTCACTAGACTAACATAATTCCAAAACCTGTATTAGCTGACAGTTTTTATAGATTAATGAATAACATGTAATTTGAATTTGCCATTTTATCTCCTAGGCCCTGGAACATCTTTGAAACTCCCTGTAACTAATCAAACAGGAGGGCCTAGTCAAGCTATTAGGTGTGTACCATACTTTTATTTCATATTCTCTGCCATTAAGTATTGACAAGACTGTATAAGATTTTTCCTTAATTGATCTTCTTTGTATTATAACAATTTGTAATCTTCATAGGCCAATCACTCAAGCTGGAAGACCCATTACAGGTTTCCTTAGGCCCAGCACACAGAGTGGAAGGCCAGGCACTATGGAACAGGCTATCAGGACACCCAGAACTGCCTACACAGCCCGCCCTATTACCTCATCTGGAAGATTTGTCAGGATGGGAACGGTAAATTCTGTCAGCTTTCCAATAGCCTTGTATTACCAAGGTAACTGTGTTATGTTATATCATTGTAGAATTATATAGAAGATTTTTGAAGGTGATTCTTTTAATTTGTTGCCTTTATGTTTTGTTTTTGTTTTTGTTTTTAGAGACAGGAGTCTTATTTTGTTGCCCTTGGTAGAGTGCTGTGGTGTCACAGCTCACAGCAACCTCCAGCTCTTGGGCTTAGGTGATTTTCTTGCCTCAGCCTCCTGAGTAGCTGGGACTACAGGCGCCCCCCACAGTGCCCACCTATTTTTTTTGTTGTTGTTGGTGCAGTTTGGCCAGGGCAGGGTTCAAACCCAGCACCCTCAGTATATGGGGCTGGCTCCCTACTCACTGAGCCACAGGCACTGCCCCACTTTTATGATTTTTATGTACATTAAACTTAATTTATGTTTCAGCAGAAAGTTTCAGCTTTCTTATTCTATTGTGTTTCCCCCATAGGCTTCCATGCTTACAAGTCCTGATGGACCATTTATAAATTTATCTAGACTGAATTTAACAAAATATTCCCAGAAACCTAAATTGGCAAAGGTATGTACTTAAAATTATTTTAAGTTTTGAAGTAATGTTGCAGGAAGTATGATGATAATAACGTTGTAGAAAATTAATAAAAATGTGTGAAGAAAAGACTATATCTTAATTTAAGTAGAAATGTTTAATACGTAATGCATGTGCTAATTTTATATGTCTTAGTTTTTAATTAATTGAATTAAGGAAAATAAATCAGAAATGAAGTACATAAACCATTATTTTAGGAGATTCTTTTCCCTTGACAAAGAGCATTATATAGTATCATCTTTGTAGAATAAAGCTTGAGTGGGTCATCTGTATGTGTGTATACCTCTTTCTTCTTTTTCAGCTTGGACTATTCTCAGAAAAATAATTTGCTATCCTTGTAGGATTTGATAAAATCAAATTTTTATATGATTTTTATATCAGATAAAAATATGATATATCACCCTTTTTATAATAAAAGGATGATATAAAATATATGTTCCTAGTTAGTAATTAATCAGACATCTCAATAAGAATTACTCAAGCCGGATTGTGCAGGCCAGCTACATTAGTAACTATAACCACTCAGAGATTCAATGTTCTTTTAAATTCACGAGAAAATGAGAGGCAGAGGAGAGAAACGGAGAGGGAGTGGGGATAAGGAGGGAAAAAAAGGAAGGTCTCCAGAGTTTTCCAGTATAAAAAAACTTGACGATGAGCTTGGAATAATTCCGAGAAAGGAGCACTTATCTTCTGGAAACTAGTTTAGGCCTAGTCTATGTTTTTAGCTGAAATCTTTATGAACACTGTCTAAGTGCTAAGCTCATTCCTAAATCTCAGTTTTAATTGTGTTTAACATGTGTATTTACTAAACATCCAACACTCTGGGGAAAATAAAAATGGACACTAGCTCTCCAGAAGTTTAAATTCTAAAAAGAAAATGCTGTTCTGGGCTCAGCACCTGTAGCTCAAGTGGCTAGGGCGCCAGCCACATACACTGGAGCTGGTGGGTTCGAATCCAGCGCAGCCTGCCAAAGAACAATGACAACTACAACTTAAAAATAGTCAGGCATTGTGGCGGATGCCTGTAGTCCCAGCTATGTGGGAGGCTGAGGCAAATGAATTGAATCGCTTAAGCCCAAGAGTTGGAGGTTGCTGTGAGCTATAACGCCACAGCACTCTACCCAGGGCAACAGCTTGAGACTCTGTCTCAAAAAAAAAAAAAAAGAAAGAAATGCTGTTCAGTAGAGAGGGAGTCAGCCTACTATAATAATAGTAATGACTTTTTTCTTAAAATCTTGTTTGATAGCAATCCAGTCAGCTTCATTTAGCAGAACTGTTAAGCCTTATTTATTTCCCTTTGTTTTATGAGAGTGGAGTATTAAAAGCACCTCATGGCTGGGTGCCTGTGGCTCAAGCGGCTAAGGCACCAGCCACATATACCTGAGCTGGTGGGTTCGAATCCAGCCTGGGCCCGCCAAACAACAATAATGGCTGCAACCAAAAAATAGCCAGGCATGGCGGGTGCCTGTAGTCCCAGCTACTTGGGAGGCAGAGGCAGGATACTCGCTTGAGCCCAGGAGTTGGAGGTTGCTGTGAGCTGTGATGCCACAGCACTCTACCCAGGGCAACAGCTTGAGGCTCTGTCTCAAAAAATAAAAATAAAAATAAAAAAATAAAAGCACCTCGTATATAATATCTGGTTCCCTATCTTTTTAGGCCATTTACTTGAAGTCACTGGATGGCTAGTTGATACCAATGCTATTTTTTAACCAGAGAGAACGGTCAATGAAGGCATTTTTCTCAATTAAATTAAGATGCATCCAGGACAGACCTGGTCTGTTGCTAGATTTAGATTGAACTAGATTTTGTGCTTTTTTAGTGTGTTGTTGAAATCATGCCAGGTTTTTCTATCTTTGGCCCTCAACCTGCCTTGACTCATCAGGGCTCATTTTTAATATTGCTATATTCCTCAGGGTGTCTATGTATCATGATTCTCTGTCACTGTATTGGGTGTTATAACATTTTTTTCATGGTAGTGATAGCACCAACTGCATTCTTAACTTTTTTTCCTTTATAAGAGAACAAATGGAGGGGTAGTTATAGTTTCTTTTGTTTTTTTGTTTTGTTTTATGTTGTTTTAAGAAAGGTCTTGTCCTGATTTCTTTTTTTCTTCTATTGGTCACTTGCATGTCTTCTCTGTTAATAACCTTGATATCTTCTAGAGGCATTAGCCTCCTTGCAAGTGTAAAGTAATAGTATTATGGAAACAAGTAGTACCACCAAGAGGTAATCTGCTAAGTCATTATTCAGGCAGGTTGGGTGAAATATTAAAAATAATAGTTCTTAGCCCTGGATATACATTAGACTCACCTGAGGGCTTTTTTTTTTTTTTTTTTTGAGACAGAGTCTCTGTTGCCCTGGGT